CCTGAGAGCCCTGAACATGAGTCTAGTATAAAATTCACAGCCTGAAAAATGCTACAGGTTCACACAGGAGAGAATGGGAATATTTTAAATGCTTGTGGGAACTGACAATGGTCAAATAAGAGATTTTTAGGTTTCAGACATTAGCTTGAGCCTGTGTGAAACTAAGTCACACAAGGTTCTCACTCTGGTCTGAGAAATCCTAAGGAGGAATCCAAACAGTCCTTAGAGAAGAAAAACAACCTCTGCAGATGTTTTTTGGATCATTGTTGTTTACCTGCAAGAAACAGTCAAGGGGTGGTGTTCTTAATTGTCCCATGATGCTGATGTGCTGGTTTAATGACCAATGAGAGTTTTACTTTTTGAACCTCTCGGAACTGTCTATAAAAGAAGATCTGGAAAAATAAAACTTGCTCTCTTGTGCAACCAAGCTAAGAGAGTCTGTGTCGTGCTTCCGCTGTTCCTAATACAGTGTGACAAATGCTGAGTGGTTTTCCTGCTAAAAGCTTTGTATCTGCAGGAGGTGGATAGATGTGAAACAGAAATTTCCTCAGCTTCTCTGACAATCACTGGATGCCTCAAAACACAATCTGCTGTGTCAGCAGCCAGAGAATATTTTGAAGGGGTAAAGCAGGTATCTCAGAAAATATCTAAGTTTTAGTGTAGGGAGTAACCATGGCAAACAAAGTGTTTGCCAAGGCCCAGCCTCCATGATTTCTCCCAATGGGCTCAAGTGGGACAAAACTGATTGTCATTCACACCTCATCCCCTCAGCTGAGCTCCTGCTTTCTGAGAAGCACTTCTCAGGGACAGGTAGCTTGGGAAACAATGGTGCCATGCAGAGTGCTGGGCAATCAGCAGCCTGTTTTATCCATGTTTATGCCTTCAGATTCCAGGGTGAATAATTCAATTGGCCTGGCACTCATTTGGCTCATTTGTTAATGGCATCATGAGTCAATGCCATCAACCCAATACATGTTCATTCAGACGGAACCTTTGCACAAGTCAGGGCTGAAATTAGACATTCGGGTAGAAATAATTAAAGATAATTGATGACTAAAATAGATGTTATGTCATTTATTTGTCAGACAGCTGTCACAGTTACCCTAGTGGCTGGCTGGACATCTCTTGGTGCCTGAACTGATGTCAGTGAAAAGGAGATTTATCCTCTTTCTGGACACAGAGGTAGGCCAGCCCTGGATGGATGGAGACCACTATTCAGATTATGTGGGAAGAGAATTAAGATTATTTGGACTGAGCACTTAAAGGACTGGTCAGCCTGAGTCAGTGAATTTTAGGGGATAGTCTCCAAATTGAGGAAGAACAGATCTGTATTTCCATTGGATCAAATGAACATGAGGAGCTTCTTTTTTTTTCATTTCAATAGTCTTTGGAAGATGCCTCTGCTTTGGAAATCTGCCTAGTGCAGTTCACCAGTCAGCTTTTCAAAAAGCTTTTATTGCATTTCAGAGAAGCAAGAAAACAAATGTAGACCCCAGAAACAGACAAACAAACAAACAAAAATTAATAGCAAAACATCCCTCCAGAGCAAGGAATCTGGATTGCTGTGTGTGATCACATTGTGATTGGTTTTGCTGTAATATGTAAGAACTAGTAACCCAGATATTGGTATTTCTACTCTTCAATATTTAACTTTGGTTTTTTTTCTTCTTTTACAAATAAACCCACTTACCCAATATGAAACATTGTTCTCTTAGTTGCCTGTAAATTCTGACTCATGCAATTATCCTAAGCTTACACTGATGTGTGATGTTTCAAGGATATCAATCTAAGCCCATCAGACCCTTCTTCTAAAAGCATTCATAGCTGTCAAATCTAATACAGATAAAGTGATTGATCTTCTAGCTAGCAGCTGCAGAAGCCTCCAGAAGATAATACAGGACTTAGATTCTGTATGAGACACAGGTCCTAGAAGCTTCTTGTTCTTTTCAAGCACAAAATCATCCTGCCTATGATCCTGTACTACAGGGCACCATAATTTACACTATCAGCGTATGACAAAATTACAATTTAGATATAGATTCTAAGTGTTTTAATCTTTCATTCTCTTGAAGTTTGCTAGGATAATAATGGCTTATAGAGTAAAGCTATAAAATAGTGTCACTTAAATTAGAGTTTTTCTGGGTTGAAAAAATGAAACAAAGCATTTGTCAATGTTTCTCATTCTCTAGAGTTTTAACAATGATGCCCAGATCTAAGACATTCACAATTTTCTGATTTGTTGCATAAGTTAACCCTACACATTCAGGGCACCAACAGGGTACCAACAGAGTGACACCAAAAAAGACTGAAGCTGTCTGGACACATTCTGTGCAAAATGCCCACACTGACTATGTGCAGGAAGAAATTTTAAGACATTTTAAGGTGTTTTCAGTAGGGCTGTTTTTCATATGATTTGAATAGTCCAAAGGGCTACATTGTGTTATCAAGTCTAAATTGCACTTGGATAAACTGAAGTGATAGGTGGAAACCAGATAAAGGAAGCTACAGGCTGCCTTTGTCAGAATTGTCTGAAAGGGTTGTAAATGCTGTCAGGTCCAGACACCTTCAATTATGCAAAACTTGAAGTAGGTTTTAAATAATAAAATTGGTACTGGTGTACTTTTATTGGCATAGGGTTCAAGAAAAAAGAAGACCTGGGGACTATGAGGACTGCAGCTAACCACAAAGAGAGGGGAGGAGAGGTGTGGCTGAGGTTGGTGTGGACAGGAGTGACAGGGGAAAGCTACTGATAGATCTGAAAGGCGGATCCTGCATGTGTTGGTGGGGATGTGTACAAAAGGGAATGGAAGCATCTCTCCCAATTAGGGATATGGCTTAATCATCTTTCTCCCTCTCTCTGCTGATCAGAAATCTGGAGGTCTCCTGGTTAACAAAAGGATGGGCTGATCCACTTTCACTGCCCACAGCACACGAGCTGCTCTCTGGAGAAACTCACAGCCTGCTTGTGCTGTGGATGTCCACAGATATCTCACTGACTCTGGACCTGCTCATTTATAAATAGACAAAGGTACTTAGCCTTAGGGTCTTGGACACCTCTCCAAGACCTACAGATAAGGTATAATTGTTTTGTACATCTCTAGGGCTTGCACCTCTCGTTCTCTCCCTCACTTGAAAAAGAGCACAAGGACTTTCAGAGGTGTTGAGTAAAGGAGGAGAGATGTAGCAGCTATAAAGTGCCTGATTTTACATCCTCTAACAACTCTCTGGCTCTGATCTGCCTCAACATCAGTAAGAAGTGTCAGTCAGTGGGAGAACTTCACTTCCTCAGCTTCAGAAGACAAACACATGTTTAGGAATTTTAAATTGACTTCCTTATTCATATTACTTGGTATTTCTATTGCTATCTAAAACCAGGATCATCACATTCCAGAGCTTGAAATGGAGAGATTAGGAACTGCATACAACCCTAATATTTACCACATGTCATTTTATACATTTACTAAAGAAGGAGTGTCTGTTATACTATTTGTTGCTGGTCAGCAGAAATTCACCTTTATGCTAGAACTGGCCTCCGTTCACTAAGCAAATAAATACCATAAATATAACTTAGGGGGCATTTAGAAATTAATTCAAAACAAAGTGTTATCTACTCACTTAAAACCAAATGGTGGCAAAATGCCCAGTACAAAAGGTACACCTCTAGATTTATGTCTCAAAAATTAATACGCATTAATTTTGCATTAAGGTGCATGATACCGGCTGGCTCCACCATTTTTCTGCTGTACTTCTCTTTCACATTCCATCAAGAAAGCAACCAAAGAAACTGAAAAATAGCTTGGAGATTTGAATCCACCTTCATCAGATGAGAGTTATGTAGCCACTGCTTGTTCTGCTGCCAGATAATGAGGGTAGACCTGTGCTGCTGAATTTTCCCTGTTGTCGGGATAAATCACTTTACAAGCTTAAATAAAAGAAATAGATGTACTAACTCTGTAAGATGTTTGCACAAATAATAAATATTTATTTGACCATCTCTCTGACTTTAGGAATAAAAGAAAATCTAGATTACTTTTACATATATTAATTTCATATATTCATATATTCGTTTCCCCATTCTAAAGCAATGTCTTTCATAGATGTGTGTGGCTTCTGCATATGCATTTAAAGAAGTCTTGCACATAATTATTTCATTTCTCTTTAGCCATTAACAATTGTTGCAAAGTTACATTATTGCAGCTGGTAACATTTAATATTTTTATTTCTATCCTAAAACCCACCTATTTTTCCATCAGTCATAGTAATGAAAAATCCAGATCCTGTCATCCACACATAAACACACTGCTCCAAATAAATTTAGTATTATTTCCAATTTTCTAAGTACAAAACACAGGACTGAGCCTAGAGTTACATTCATGCAAGAAAAAAAGGAATATTTTTAAATTAGTGTAAGGATTTGAGGGAAAATTCTGAATACACTTGAAACCATAAAGAAATATGAGGCTGTATTTTGATATTTATACTTGCTGTCTGTATTTTATTTTCTTGTAAGGAGAATTTTAGGAATTTGACTGTAATCCAATATGCAGAAATGAAATGCATGTCCTTTCTCTTCCATTAACTTTTTTTTTTTATCCCTCAGCCAGCTCCATTTTCTTTCTCTTTGTATAATAATGATAACAGAGTGGTACAAGTGTAAGAAATAAGGTTCTGAACATGCAGAAAACTGAGGGCAATTTTTGAATAGCAGCCGGAATTCCAGGTTTGTAATGCTGGCACTAATTAGCTCAATTTTGCATTTAACTTGTTGGTCTTCAGAAGCATTTTCATTTATTCAGAAAAAAAATACAAACTCATGAAGTTGTTACTGAGCTGACAGCAGGAGAGAATTTTGAAGAAGTTTGCTGGTTGAAGAAATTATGCATTCAGGTAGGTAAATGACGTGTCTCTGCTGTGAATGGAAGTTTCTAGAGCTGGCTGCGTGGAAGCCAGTGAGTCAACAAATTGAATAATAACAAAAATAAATCACAGAAGCCCCCATATTACACCTTAATCACACAATTTATTATGGCAAGATAACTCTGGAAAAAGACAGACAGACAATGTGAAATATTAATCCTGGGGAGCTGGATAACATCTAGAAAGTCCTAATGTAGATCCATGAATTTCAAGATTGATATGGATGTTGGCCCAGCAGTCTTTAAAGGTTTTTAGCCTTGTTAATCTGGATTGGATCCTGATTTCTCAATAACGTAAAACAAGGATCATTATTTCAGCTAAATTACATCATAGTTTTTGTGATGTGATTGCATATAAGACATTACTCCTTAATTAATTCTAAAAGTTAGAAAGGTGTTGAAAGCCTTACCCAAGACTTTTAGGGCTGAAAATGATCATTCATTAGTGGTGACAGGGAAAACACTCCACTCTGCATCAGTGAACTTTTGGCATTTTCTTGTATACTGTGGGGGCCGGGGAACCCGCTGGCTCCTGGTTCCGGGGTCTCCCCTGGAGGCAAGACACCTTTCACTCAGAGAGAGACAATGTATCACTCCCAGGGATCTTTGAGTTAGATATGTTAAACTGCTGTGCCCTATTGGTGTTCCCCCCTGCTGTCCCAACCCGATACATGTAACTCAGGCTCCCCCCGCCCCTCTCCTCCCCTATAAATATCCCGGGTTTTCTCCTGTTCGGGAGATTAGCTCCCTTCGCCAAAGCTCTGCCTGAATAAAGGTTTGTGCTTAGCGGAATGCTGGACCAGGTTTCTCGTCCCTGCTTCCCGTGTCGCCTGCCCGCTGCCGCTGAGCCGAGCTGGAATCACTCGCCTGCCCGAAGCCGCTCACACACGCTTCGGCCCAGACCTGTTCAGGGCTGCCTCGCTAGAGAAGTCGCGGCCCTCTGGCCCCTCCGTCGCCGCGGCAGTATAGTCTGCAGGAAAAAAAAAAGCACTTGTTAATGAAAACAAAAACTGACCTAGGTAGAGCAATGGTTGGATTTGGAATGACTGTTATCTTACTGCTTATTTAGGTGGAAATTTTGCACTTAACACCCACTCAAAGATCTTGCAGTGGCAGTTACCCCACCGATCTTTTAACTCCATTTATTTTATTGAAGTTGACACTTATTTCTTCTCTGTGTGACCAGGGACAGGACCCAAAGGAACGGCTGGAGCTGCATCAGGGGAAGGTTAGGGTGAGTATCAGGGAAAGGTTCTTCCCCCAGAGGGTGCTGGAGCACTGAACAGGCTCCCCAGGGAATGGTCACAGCCCCAAGGCTGACAGAGCTCCAGATGATACACAGGGTGGGGTTGTTGGGGTGTTTCTTTTGAGGAAAAAACTTGAATGCACAAAATAGCTCCTGGACTTGGCGTTTAAATGGATTTTTATATTCTATAAATATAGATTAATAAATGGAAGCAGTATCTAATAACCAGTCAGAAGGGGTTAATTGGTTTGATTCAACCTAATGTTCCTTCCCAATTTCAGACACCTGTTAGAGAAAAAGGGCTCTTAAACCTGCAGATTACAACCATGAATATGTCAACTCCGAGAGGAGCTGAGCTGGCCTAAAAATCAAGCTAGTTTCTAGACTCATGGAAGGACTTCTAGCATCATCAAGTCCAACCATCAACCTAGCACCACCACGTTTGTCAGTAAACCATGTCCTCATGTGCCACATCCACATGTTTTTGGACCATTCCAAGGATGCTGATTCCACTTCCTTGGGCAGCCCATTCCTGTTCTAGTACTTGAGAAGCTGTTCAATGAAAAAAGAGCTTGTATTATCTCATCTGAATCACCCTGCTGTAATTTCAAGCCACTTCCTCTTGTCCTGCCATTTCTTCCCTGGGAAAAGAGACGGCCCCCACCTGGCTACAACCTCCTTTTATGGGTGTTTAGAGAGCACCAAGACCATCCTGAGTTTCATTTTCTCCAGACTAATATAGAAAAGGCTTCTCCGGCCTTCTCATGGGAGACCCATACTCTTCACCAGCTTCATTGTCCTTCTTTGTGTAGCAGTGTGGGTAGATGGTGAATGCTGCCACCTTCCCAAAAGCATCTCCTGGTGAAGGTGTTCAGGCAGGCACACAAGCAGTTACACAGTCCACACACACACCAAGCACAGCTTTCAGTGAAGAGTCAGGAAGGATCTTTTGTATGGAGTTCCAACAGGGTTTATCAATCCACACATCAAAGGGGTCCCAGGACAAAAGACAAAACTGAGTGGAGAGCCTAGGTTATATAAAGGTAAAATGGGGTGCATCAAAGGGGCAGGGTCTAATGGGAACAGGCAAAAGTGGTGCAGGGGCGGGGATAGGGACAGGAACAACGAATAGGAAATCAGGGGCAGAGGATAGCACCAAACTGGGGCCAATGGGGATTGAGAGAAGGGAGAACATTCTAGGGAAGATCCATATAGGGTAAACAGGGGCTGAACAGGAATTACATCAACTTGATAAACCCATGGGGGAATTAATTTAGCAATACATTAACATATAATTGTGAAGACCTGTGGGAGAGAGGCCTTCCCTCACCTCAACCTCAGGAGGTGTTATTTGTTGCCTCCTTTCCAGGATTGGGGTATGGGGATTTTAGTCATAGGCTTTTGGGACTCCACATCTTTGGATGCAGTCCAGCCTCTTTGGACATGCTCCAGGCAGCAATTCCCAGGGTAATTCTGTCACAGACAATGCACATGCAGACTGTGCCAGTCCTGGTTTGTGTGCTGTGTTAGCCCAGCAAGATCCTGATCACACCTCGGGTCTCTGAGAGCAGAGGGTATTTTAGCCCCTGGAGCTGGACAACCAGTAGCCCATTCCTCATGGCATTCTGCTGCCCAAACCTGCAGTCATCCTCCCCCTTTGTCCCTGCTTGTTGCAAGAGTTATGGTGGAAATAAATTCCAAAGAGACTGGGACCCATTGAGTCTTCTGCACTGTATGTTGTAAATCTTTCTATGTTCTAATACCTTCTCTTAGGATGATAGTGTGCATGGAAAATTCAGGTAAGATGAATGATGGTTTTTAGTCATTTATATTTCAGCACCTCCGATAAGGGCGTAGAAAAAACAGGGTAGGTTGACGCATGGCTGTTCCCATTTGGAAAAAGTTGCTTTTCTAAATCAGCAGTGAGACATAGAGTATAACTGGCAATAATTAGCTATCAGGTAAGGAATGGCCGGAGTGACTTCTCTGTCCTTTGGAATGAAGACTTCAAGCATAACTAGATGGAAAATACAGCTGTGTGCAACAGGCTGTTGATACTTGATTGGGCGCAACTGGATGAAATTACAAGGTAATTGTAGACTTGTGGTTTGACTACAGTGGCTATGGAGCTATTTTGTACCTTTTAGTCTAAAGCAAAATGCTGTCTCCAAAGATGGGAGGAGTTATGAGCTGTGTTCCATCCCAGGAAAAGGGCTGGACAGCTGTACAACATCTGTTTTGAAAGCTTCCTTAAGAGTCACAAAAAACAGGGGTTTTTTTTCACTCTGTCTAAAATATTGTGTGGCAGAGAATCCTGATTTATTCTTGTTTTGTTCTGAGCTACATCCCAACTCTGTCAGAGAGGACAAGTATGCACTAAGAATTCTCTTTCTTGTTTAAGGCATCTATGCCTGAAGAGTTCATGTAACACAAGAATGTATTTTAAAAACATATTAAAGTATTAACAAATGTATTAAAGTTCCTAACAAGAGAGAAGAAACAAAAACTTTGCAGGATATTACCCAGCCACTGGATGACACAAAGGCAGAGAACTGACAGGAAACTTGTGCTTCACTTAGCCAGTCTGGATCTGGCCTGAGTTTTGCTTGCTGTTCCCATCACAAATCACAGAATGCTGTTACAAGTACCAACCAAGTAACTTCCCTTTGGACTTTGGAATTAATTTGTCTGTCCAGGAGTGAATGCTTTGGACAAGATTGAGCTGTATTGGAGCTAGCTGGGAAGGAGTCAGCTTTCTTCCTGGTGCTTCCCAGCTCCTCTCTATCATCTCCTGATTTTCCTGTAGCAATTTACAGCTCATATCTAATAACTTCAGATTGAGACACCTTAAACAACTTTGAAATCAGGGATAACCTTAAGATGTAGTTGTGTCCAGGGGATGCCGAATTTAAAGGCAGTGTGTGGACCAACAGGATAGCATTTGCCATCAGACTTTTCTCTGTTTAGTGATGCTCCACATGTTGTAGATCTCTGAAAAATCCATCAAAATGCTTTTCTTTCTGGACTTTTTCTGGTTCCCCATAGGATATTTTAGCTTAATATTGCACATGTGCTTCAAAATATTTCTGTCCAGTTACACTGACAAATCAAAACAAGTTGAAATAATTTCCAGCCACCAATGAAGGTCCTAGTGCCACTTGAAGTGCTTGTGCACCAGTAATAGCAGAGTGACTCATTAGTTTTTGTAATTAATTCCTGGGCCAATAAGCCAATAAAGATTAGCAGAAAATAAATCAGGCCTACATGGCCTGTCCTCTCTCTCTGGATTCCCAGGAATGCCTCTAGGCAACCCTGCCCTGACAGATGAGAGAGAGGGCTTACCTGGCTGAGCCCACCTGCATGCACACAGTATCAGATTTTTAGACCAATGAAGGTTTTAATCCTTCGATTTTCCTTTCTGACCACTTGTCCCGCTGCCTCCCATTCATGTCCTCATTCTGTGTGTGTTCACGCCCCAGAGGTGTCGTCATGTGCAGCTGCAGGGCAGGACCTGGAGAGATAGCAGTGACCTGAGTGGTGGCACTGGCCTGCCATCATCTGCCAGGGCAGGGCTCTGCTGGCTGCAGTGGCGCTGTTGTGATTAGCTCTGATTAGCTGTTTCAGTTGTAGATGTAGCATGAAACATCCACAGGCGATGACTTATGTTAAGAGGGATGGAGGGACTGAGAGCACTCAGATGCTGCAGGGAAGCCCTACCAGGAAGAGAACTTCTGTTGGAAGTGTACACGGATCCAGTACAGCCCCTTTCAGTAAAGTAGCTGTGGCTAACTCACACTCCCTGATAGCTAGGACCTGCTCACTAAGGCAGAGTCTTGATGTGTTGTGGGCAGCCCTACACCCATCCTGCCACTGAGTTTCTTTAGAGCTACACAGAAACCCAGGGTGAGGTTCCTAAATTCTCAGCATCCAGACACTGGATGAATGACACTGGACCCAAATGGTCCAAGCACTCGTGCTGCATCCAACATTTTGCAGGCGGTTTCTATTAAATAGCCATTGGCCATAAACTTAGACAAGACACTTCATTTGTAACATTAAAATAAATAGGGATTTCACTGAAACATTTCAAGGGAAATTCTACTCCCAGGTGCATCAGGTGAAGTTAGATGCTTTGTCATTTAGGGACGTATGGGTTCATCAGACCTGGAACAATGATGAACTGGAGGCATTTCAGATCTTGGCCACGTCAGTTTTACCACTCCATTCATTACCACAACACTGAAATATTTCACAGCTTTAGGATATTTCAAAAAAAGGAGAAGCCTGATGCTTGAGAGTGCTAGCTAAAACTACTCAGAACTCTGTGGATATGCACCCAAATTTTTACCTGTGCAAACAAAACGTGGCTTTGCCTGCATATTTCCACAATATCACAATGTGTTTTCAGCATGTGCTGCCTGAGAGGGATTTGGAGGGGAACAGAGTGGCCTCAGCTGAGAAATCTTCAGCTGAAGATGTACATGGTACTGCCATTTATCAAGCAAAGAAGAGAATGGTGAGTCTGAATTGGAGCTTGCAGGGCAGAGGCAGGAACAGAACAGACAAAATTTTAAAGTCATTAAAAAATAAATTTCTTATCAGACAAGGTTATAGATGGTAGAAGGTAAGCCAGATATAGAGACAGGAGGAGCTGGACTGAAGCAGGGTCCAGCTGCCCAGCTACGTTTGGCTCAAATAATGAAGAATCCCCAAAATCTAAGTTTGGCACTGCTCCCCAGCAAGACACACCTGTGAAACCTGTTGGTAATGTGTGCAGTCCATTAGTATGGATAGCAGAGACCAGGACAAGGGGAACTTGGCACTGGGAAAAGCTCCTCAGAGTCTGGTACAGAGAACAGGCAGTAGGTACTGCAGTCCTGGTGTGTCTATATATACATGTTTACGTACACACACACAGAGATATACATTGATAAAGAGGAAAATCAAACTTAGATGGAAAGTTCGGCACTGTCTTCTTTAAACTTGTGCTCTCTTTGTACAATGCAGTTATAACAATATATTTTATGGCAATGTAGTTGGCATGGTTTTAATAATAGCTTTTTCCTGGAAGATGCTGAATATTCTCTTGTTCCTTAAGTTGTTGAATTTCAGGATACTGCTCCCTTGCAGGGATAAGCCTTATTTTCCAACTACAAGTAGCATTTGGGGACAAAATTCAGTTTCATTTCCCCTGGACTGCCATTACACATATAAAATATAAGATGCTACAAAAAGCAACTGAAATGAGCTAAAAGAACTGGAATTTTTCTGGCTACTGTATTGCTTCTGTTTTACACCTTAGCAATTTCTGTTGTGAATGATTAATTCAGGTCCAAGTTGTTAGATGAGGAAAATGCACTGATTCAAAATGTAGCAGGAATGCAGGAGGAAATGAAAGAGAATAAGCATGGTAAATATGCAAAACATTTTTACAATGAGATCACTTCTGCCAGGTCAAGGCAGTAAAGTTTTACTGGCTTGTGCTACATGCCTATAACCAGAATGATGACTCACAAAATCAGCCTCGGAAATCTCTGTATACAGATTAAAATGCACATTCAGAATAACACAGGAACTGGATATTTTATGTCTTTGGACATAGTTTGTATACCTGAAGTAACCAAAGTGAAATCTGCTGACAGAGATAGATTTTTGAGTATTCACACCTTAAGGTATGAAGCAGTGGCTTAGGTGTTCAGCCTGGGGCCAGGAGGAAAATGTTGAGCTCCTCTGAGAGATTCCCTAATTCCTATCTGAGCGCCAATATCCAAGTGTTTCTTGTACCCCCACTGACTCCCTGGAAAGAATCCCTATCACCTCTCATTCTTAACAATAGGGAACATCTTTCCAGAGCATATTTTCCATGATTTTCAACCCCTCCTGGCTCTGCATGGGTGGAAATCAGAGTTTACTGATGGCAAAAGCAATGTTTTGCAAGTGATAACTCTTTAAGGACAACTTTACAGGTGAGAAGGTCACTTCTCTTTCAGGCTGAGAAAGGAAATGGGGGTGGGGGGGGAATCAATTTTACATTGCTGGTTTTTCTGGAGATTGGATTAGAAATAAGCAAGCAGAGAATCTGGTAAGTGTCCATACTCATT